TAGGAGTGATTGTTTTCTTTGAAGTCTGAACGAGTTGCGTAAATTTCTGGTATCGTGCAAGTTCTTGACGCAACGTTTCGCTCTCTTCTCGAAGACATTCGCGCTCTAATACAAGTTGCTGCATCTGATGCTGGACTTGGACTGTCCTCCCACGACCGGTACAGTCACCGTTTCGACTCAAACCGGTGAGGCGCTGCTCCAGTTCCTGTTCCAGACGACGACACTCCTCGTGCATGTTCTTCTTCTGGTCTGCACGTCGGCCTCGAAAGCGCAACATCCGCTTGCGATGGAGCTCAACCTTTCGCATGTCCTTGAGCTCTTGAGGCCACTTTCGGATCTCTGCACGTGTAGGCTCTGGATCCTTCTCCATGATTAACAGGTCGAGCTCTTGTGAACAGCTGAACCGTTCATTACTACCAGCTCTGGGGCTGATGTGAGTCATATTGACGGACACTAGGGCGAGCGAAGTCGGCATGGAGTGAGTTGTTGAGGGATAACGTAAGAAACTGAAAGTGTGATTTAATCGCTGCCAGGCACAGGTACACACGATCACCTTGGCGTTGATTATCGATCTGATTCTGGGGGTTAGCGTCCTGCCATCGAGGATGACACGCACGGTATCCCTAAGTTCTGAGGACAGTCCAACCAGCTGTCTGGTTGAGCCCAACAAACACTCAAGTGCTTGCTGTGGATATACATGTACTTACAGTTAAGTATGTAAAACCTCACCTTGATTACCTATTTGGACGATGATAAGACTACGCGTAAACGTTTCGGGTAAGTGTACCGGTACCGTACGGTTCTTCACACGACACGAAGTGTCGACATGGTTTTTCCTTTTCCACCCGAAAAACGAACTCCTCGCCGCGCTGGAGATGTTACAGTATCTGTCGCTTCGAAGAAAAAGATGACTACAAGTACTCTAACTACAACATCTAGCTACCATTGCTCAAAAGAAGAGATACTGAATTTTCTGGCTTTGATATTTCGTCTACTGAAAAAACGTAGGGGCACAAAATTGGTGGTCAAGACTATATCAATTTCAAAGAAAGAGGAATGGGCGTATAGTTGTTATAATCCTTCTCAATACTCCGTATAGACACAGCTAAACCAATATGGTAACGTACCTCTCTACTTCTCTCTAAAACGTTGTCCCACTACGCCCGGATTCCTCCTCTCCAGGCTCAAGAAGCCGAGACAGCATGACTTGCTGTGACCATCGGGAAAGGAATTGGGCCCACTGAAAAAAGAGATTCTGCGCATGGCGATCATCTTGGCAACTCGCCCAGTGGTCGTAGCTAAGATCTACGGTCCCTTCATCCACCTCCGTCAGGGTTACGAACGTGCCTCCTCCTTGTACCCATTCGACTTCATCTTGCGGTTCTTCCGCGGCTCGGCTTCGCTCATTTTCCTTACTGCTAGCGACCACTTGGACGAAGAAAACCTTGCGCATTCCATTAGCCATAGTACGAGACAATCGACGTAGAAAATAGAGATAGCGCAAATGAACTGGGCCAGGAATGTTACACGCCATCACGTACGCATCTTTTTCGATCTCCTGGAGAACTTGCGTACTCGCTTTATTGCGTTGAGAGCGATCCCAATCGGGAGGTGTCACAATCAAAGGTAGTGCTGCCACTTTCGACGTTCGTATCGTGTTGTTCATATCATCCAACGAACAGGCGAATCGAGTAGTAAATCTAGCTTGAGTGAGGACAGACTGGTCCTCCCTTTGAGTAGGAGGAGCGTAATGCATACTCCAGCCGAACAGCGTCCCCACCCGCTTAATATGCGGTAGATTATTGTCCAAACTATCCTTCGTTTGCGTAATAACATCTTCGAACTGCTCTCGTGCGAAGGGATGAAAGAAGAAAGAGGACTCGCTGTGTCGGAAATGCACACGCCAACCCAAATCATGGGAACGGGTTGTCCACTGAGACTTTTGACTGGCTTCGTACACGTTTTCATTGCTTGCATCGTTATTTTCAGTGCGAAAATCGTTCAGACCTTGTTCGGTAAGTGAACAAAGGCGCTTATGTTGCTGGAGCCTTTTCCAGAGGTCGACGTTTTCGGTGCGAAGAGCGTCACTTTCAAGGACGAGGCGATTCATTGCTTGACTCAGTTCGCTTTCGTTGCGTTTTGTAGCCGCGCGTTTCGACTGTGCAAGGTACTGATTGTATTGGAGCTCAAGTTGTGCTCGTTCGTTTTGCATGGACTTAAGCTGGCTTCTCCTGTGGGTTCGCAGACGTGCCATGCCTTCGCGGTGCTGCTGTCTTCTCCAGTCAGCTTCGACTTGCTTGGTCCATTCTTGCAGAGTCGAGTCGGCCCAGTCGCGAAGCCTTAGATCCACTGCTCCTGTCGTATCCTGACGACCCACGGGAGCTACGGCAGCTCCACCGTTATTAATAGCGGTGATCATAACTCGACGCTGATGTGATCCCCCCCTAGAAATTGGAAATGTGACGACAATTGACTGATCCTACTCCTCGTTGGATAGAAAGCTTGAGATAGAACTGTATTTTACGTACCATCTGTAGACTGTGTGCTCAGGTGCGCGGTATACACTGTATACTGCATCATACACGGTACTATATTACAGCTGTGCCTGGTCTATTATACTAGTAGTGTTATCTGTCTTCAAATGGTCACGCAACTTCGGGGTGGGTCGTCCCATACCCTGCAATATCCAAAGCCTTTAAAGCCATGCAGTGGGCGGGTAGGAACCACATTTCTCTCCTTGCTATGCTATCCAACTTCTAGGTGGATGTTCATTCGATGGCAACTTAGTGCATCAACGTTTGTGGCGATTACGGGGTTGGATGGCCGTGATCACGACTCTCGCATGGACATTTTATCTCGTTTCAAAAGTAAACAATTACTTGCCTGATCATCAGTAACTTTAAAATAAAAATAAATGGGTTTAGCCGCCGAAAATGTGTAAACAAAAGTTGCGATTGCATGAAAACAAGATACATTTGGAGTGGAAGCTTCAATACGCAACTGCAGCACTGATCTACAGAAATCGTTGCTATACTCATTCGTCAGCGTTTGCGTCTCTAATGGCCGTGGCTACAAGCATTGAATCCCAGAACAATCGGAGGAAAATGATCGCTTCGAACATGACGGAAGTCAATCTGGATCTTTTTTCGGTCCGTGATGACATACTTGGCAGCGCTGAAAATCTCTCAATGGACATGGATGTTCCCTTCAAAGAAGTTAAAGTCGTCATATGATGTAGTCTGCATCATTCTCAATCGTTTGCCTTCTTGTAGTTC